AGGGGTAAAGAGGGGTTAAAATCCCAAAACCAGAAGCTGTAGGGAGCAGAGGTTTTGAGAGTCAGATCAGGATGAATACATCATCCACTGTTTGATATTATAGCACTGTGTCACCCTGCTGAAGGCAAAGTGTCAAAGTGAGGACACTCTCCTGAATTTTAATGTAGCAGCTGGGCTTGGAAATTTATGGTCTGTTCATCTAGTGAAAATGTAAGTTAAATTTTATATCTTTTTTAAATGGATGTTTCAGATTCATTGGTCCAGGATTCTGACACCTGTCTTTGGGAAACAGTTTCATCTTTCACCCCTCGATGCTGTGTATTAATGATGATTGGCTGAGGCTGCAGGAAGGAAGTAAATATATTTTATTTAAATATTTAGCCACAAGCTACTACGCATTGAATCCCTAATAAAAATCAGGGAAGTTTCTACTCACTTTTGGAAATGTCAATGTGAACCAGCCTTTTTTTTTTTCTACCATCCTGCCGTTCTGTTGTAATTTTTCTTAACCAATATTTCTGCTTTCTTCTAGTACTCACCGAATGCTGGTTCTTGGCTGTGATGGTTTTCACACTGTCAGGATCCCAGATGACGACGTCAGCATCCGAGCCCACTGCTATCCTGCCCTTACGTGGGTACAGGTTGAAGATTTTGGCAGCGTTGGTAGATGTGACTGCCACGAACTGGTTTTCATCCATCTTCCCAATAGCCTGAGAGACCAGAAATATTTGTTGAAATCAAAGGGCTCAAAGCCAAACACGAGATGTACAGATTTCCTCTGCGCTCACCACAGCCTTGTCCCAGACAAAAATCATTCTCTCCTCCACTCCATTGGTTCCCTCTGGGATGAGGGTGAAGTCATCTTTGCCTATTGCCTTTTGGGAAGTGCTGTACGCACAGTGAGCGCTGCCTACCACCTGGAGGTCCCCACTGTTTGAAGGAGAAATATGACACAGAAATAGCAGCTTAGCGTTTGCCAAGACAAGAAAAGCTGAAAAATCATCTCTATTCCCTACAGTGTAGTGAGGACTGCCTCAACCTGTACACTAGAAGCATATGCAACAGCACAAGAGAGCTGCCTGTTCAGGCTTTAAACGCCCGCGGAGCAGTGTGTGGAGACATGCAATGCTCAGAGCACCTCAGTGGTTGGTGGACTCGAACAGAGGAGACCTGAGTTTCCTCCACAGACACACCGTCAGCTGTGTTCCTCAGGTGAGACCACCCACCCACATGACTCTCACCTAACACTCTCTTTTGTCTTGTTGTAAGGACTGTCAATCCAGGTGTAGTTGGTTCCACAGTGTCGCTGTTATCATGGCTGTAAATACTATGATTTTCCAGCAGGTAGTTAGAAGTTAAGCAATAAGCATTAACCTGACTGTTGTTTTTCATGATTCATACAAAACTAACTTATTTAAGGTGTTTGGTATAAACCACTGCCAAAGACATCCTCTGAGCTGCTACAATAGTTCCCATACTGAAGGTGGGCCTCCGTAAATGTGCTGCTCTCATTATATCAAAGAATGAAAAACCAACACTTTTTTCCAGTCTTTTCAGCAAACGCACCAGGACAGCGAGCAGCTACCACCCCTGGAGTGACAGCACAGATAGAGAGGGCTCAGGATCAGGGAGGAGTAAGAAAATGATAAAGAGGGGAGGAACCTGGTAGCCAAGGAAACAGATACTGACACATTCTGGTTCCTTTGCTATTTATGGAATCAGGGACATTAAGAAGAGCACAGCGTTTTTTCTGAGCTGTGATAATTCCATATTTTGTCGTATTATTCTATCACATAACTAATGTTGCTTTAAAATGGTTACACTGCGCTTCATCCAGTTTGAATGTCCTGTCACCTTTTTATCCTAACCTCTTCTCATGCATGAATCTCACCTTCCGTCCATCTGTGAAGCTGTTCTGACTTTGTGCACAACCAGCAGCTGTTTGGAGCACGAATAACAGATGAGTGTGTTGGGACAAACGGTAGAAGTTCAATCTCAGCTGCTCCTGAATCTGCGCTTGTGTCCTTTGGTGTCATGTGATTCACAATGTGCAGAGGTTACACCGACATTTAACTTTGTCCTTAGTCTGTATTAATTAGCAAACTTTTTATAAATTGTTCAGTGGAAAATATATTTCATTAGGTTTTTGCACTTGAACCCTGAAGACGTAGAAGTCAGCTGAACCCATTCACATTCATCTTTTGTTGAGATGTTTTAGAACTCACCAAGCAAGAAGTGTGTGAAGATGGTCTGGAGTTGTGGGGTCAGGACTCAGTGGTGGAGAGGTGACATAGGCGGCTGCTTTAGCCCAGTTTTTGCTCCAGTAGTAGGAACCATCAGTGGCTAGGCTAGCTGTAATTGGCTCGCCAAAAACGACACAGCCTGTGGGCGGGAGACAGGTCAGAGATGTTTAGACATGTCGATAAACACAGGAGGAGTCGTTAGGATGAAATCAGCTTCCAGAAGTGGGCTGACCTTTCCTGCGGGCCTGGGTGATGATGTCAGCAGCACTCTTGCTCATCACCCTGGTGATGTAGACAGGGCAGTTCACACAGTTGCCCAGAGTGACTGCACGGAACACTGCCTCAGCCTCCAGCTGCACAGAACCGAGCAGAGACGGGAAACTAGTGTGAGTTTTAATAAAGCGACAAAGACTATTTAGTGGGATTACAGCTCCTAGTGCCAGTCAGAGTGTATTACATCACCTCCTCAGGATGACTCAGAGGAAGGCCTTCAGGTCCAGTGATTCCCAAACCAAGGATTTTTCTTTGTTCCTAAAATGTTAAGAAATAAGTATTCCTCGGTTTATTTCTTTAGCTAGAACCAAATTTACTTTATTGACACCTCAGCTGTAGTACGTACATAATATAAAGCAAAATTGCATCAATTAAATTGTGCATATATATATGAGCTGTCAATTAGTTAAATTTTATATATTATACATAGATAGATAAAGAGATAAACACATTATGTATATTATTAAAAAATCATTGCATTAATGTGAGGATGTGATTTTAACATGTATGAAGTACATGAAAACTGACATCTATAAACTTATATTATATTATATAATATTATATTATATGAAACCTGCCCTGCTGAGTCACTACAGCAGAGTCAGTGTGAGCAGAATACTTCATTCCTCTGTGGAGAGCCAGGGAGTTATGCAACCAGGCTTTCTTTTTTTTCTACCACTGTGAAGATGTATAAAGGCAAAAGACTGGCCATAATTCAAGGTATCCGAATGCTGACTAAGGTTTAGCTGAGGTACTGGTCACCCTGCAGTACGAAGTTATTAAGGCTGTACCTGGGCTATAAGATCTCCATTTTCAGCATGAACTAAAACCACTGCACCCAGCTGCTTCAGGAAAGTGAAGGCCTCATAGAGCTGAGAAAAGGAGGAACACAGTGGGAAAGACAGGGTTAGAATTACCTGTAAGAGTCTGAACAGCACTCACTTATAATTTTAGCCGCTGTGGCTTTATCAATAATTCATTCATCCAGCTTGAAACACTTTATCCTTTATCTGTTGCCCTCCAAAAGAACACCCTGGCCAGTGCTTCAGTCCATTGATTCTGACTCTGAATTAAATAACAATTGTTTTTGGAGTCTTGGAGTAATCTTAATTTCTCAGAGAACATAATTGCAACATGCGATGTATACACAGAAGGATACAATTATCTTGTCTCTCTTCACTGATGACGTCCAGTAGAGTCACAAGAAACAGTGGTCTTTTGGTCACCATGACAGGACCATTGGTTTTCTCTCTGTTTTATCTTAAAACTGCCAGAAAGTACTTTGTGCAGTAAAATCAAACTGAACAGTGAAGACAGGGGTTTTATACTTAATACTTCTGGCACATCCCCACATGAGCATTAGGATAAAATTATTCATCTTTTTTTTTTCCATCTTTGTAGTATTGGTTTTCAAAGGTCTTGATGGATTGGAAATGCTGTGTCTGATTAACAGCTTATAGTTGACACACCAGAACTGCTCAGTTATCAAACTGTCACTTCTTTATATTCTGTGGGTGAGACTTAAACCCAGTGGTGACAGGAAGTTTTTAAGCAGCACCCCTGTGAAATGAGTTGACTCATTTGCTTAAAAAGTTTAGTTTAGTTTAATTCTTTTGCATTTCTTCTTTATCACTATCATTATCAATTCACAAATTTAAAAAAGTAAAATTAAGTCAATACCTCGGAGTTGGACATCTGGTACACATCCTTATAGGCCATGAAGACTTGAAATGAGTTAACACCTGACATAAGAGGAGGTTTAAAAAAATATTAAGGATAAAGAGATTATATGTTATGAGCGAAATTATCAAAAACAATCAGACACCACAATATATTATAATATAAAATTTTATGGTACATCTAGATAACAAGAGTTCAATCAATAAAATTAATTAAAATAAATTATGCCCTTAAATGGGCATGAACATAAATATCATATAGCTCACGTATCATGAAATACAACAGGAATCGGTATACCTTTCTCTTGCACCAGCAGCTCCAACTCATCTTTAACAGTGTCATTCCACTCAGGAATGTCAACATGCAGGGAATAGTCACAGCACGCAGTCCTATCTGCATATGCCTGCCAGTGCTCAAATGCTGCCAGCAGACTGCCTCCAGGTTCAGGGGTCACATGGTCAACTGAGAGGTGAAAAAGTACCAGAACTTGACATATTTCTGATTCACACTTCACAGGATACATTTGATACTGCATTAATCAGCACCTTCAACACTCACTGATCATAGTGGTGCCTCCAGCAAGGGCAGCTTTGGTGCCCAGCAGGAAATCATCAACCGGCTTGGTGCCCAGGTAGGGCCTCATCAGACAGGTGTTCACATCTATACCTCCTGGTATCACCAGTCGACCGTTGGCCTCAATCACTTTGACTCCATCTGAAACAACCAGGTTCTCGCCCACCTCCCTGTCAGTGATTAGGAGGGTGATGGAAAGGGTTAACGGTGAGGAGATGGGAACCACAAATAAAATGAGAAATTAAAGTAATTTGAGTAAATTCATGTATTTTTCCAGCATCAGATATATTTTGAATCTTGTTCAATACGTACTTGATGAGCCCATCCTCAATGTAGACATCTGCATAGAAAGACTGGTCGTCATTGACCACCCGTCCTCCTCTGATTAACAACTTGTCACCCTGCATTGGTAAAATAGAAAAAAGAGAATAAGTTAAGAAGTGCATGTTAACATTGGTGATATTTATGGTTATCTTTCACTCATGTCACTTACAAAAAAAAATTACAGACGCATTTGTCTCAATAAAATAAAAGATTACAATTAAGAAATTTCAAATATGCTAAAAAGCAGGTAAAGAAAATGGAGGGATGTATATACAGCCAGTCATGGTAACGTGATTAGTCATAGTTTCAGTATGACATTTGTGTCAACATAATTAAGCAAATTGATAACTGGATTGTATTCTGCATTTAAATTAATATTGCATTGAACGGTACGACTGTATATAAACCATATAAACCACCTGTTTAAAATATCAAATATTCTGTTCCTCGATAGTGAAGCTCACCATTCTAGGATTTCTCTTTAAGAAGATGCACCATTGTTCACAGCAGCCTTACACCATATGAGATGTATAAAACCAACCATTGTTCCCTGTGCCAGCTCTGAATCGACTGTCAAGTCTACCGGGCTAATCCCTCTGACAGGCGGCTAGATTACAGTATGTCGTCCAATCCAGGACGAGAGTACACACTGGATTTGACGTACAGACACAGACAACTGCCACGTCTTGCATGTATTAACACATGGAGAAGGAGTGTTAGTTAAACGGAATCCCATCTTTATACCAGCATTAACGGCCGGCAGTGATTTGCACACAAGCCGCTGTCAGACGACCAGGCCGCTGGGTCTCTTACCGTGAGGTCACCGTTCTTTCCCTGGTGATTGGTCTCAGACATTCTCTCCTCCGTCGCACTGATCACAGAGAGTCAATATTTAGCAGCGGCTTTTTAATGACGTCTGTAAACAAAGCTCAGCTCTGTACGCCCCCTTGTGTGTTTGTGAGAGAATGGGAACGAGACGACGAATCCGCCGCTTGGCGTCTGCGTCACCACGCGTTAAGCGCGTATGGCGAAGGACAGGTATAATACTGGGATGAGGTTTTTAAGACACGGCTTCTACCTGTTGGTGGCGCCCTCACAGCCTAAGCGACAAACACATAGAGAAGTAGAGAGAGTGGGAGAGAGAGAGTGAGAGAGAGAGAGAGAGAGAGAGAGGGAGAGAGAGCATGCAAACTATAGGAGGCGAATCTGTCGCTGTCCGTTTCAGCACCACCGACTCATTACCATGCGCATGATCCATGAGTACTGCAACTCAACATTAAATAAAGATGAAACAGCACTGGGAGTTTATATGCAGTACTTGTTTTATTTATTCCGATCGCTTTAGTCCAGAAACCTAAAGCAATGTTTCCTACAGTGTGGATTTCTCTAATATGCAAATTGTGTTTTATTTAAATTCTATAAAACAATAGTAAATTATAGTTTTCTAGGAATAAGAACTTGACTTTAAGGCGTTATATGACACAGTCAAATACATAACATTAAAGACAGTAAAAATGGTAAACGGTCCATGGAGTCAAATTGTCAGTCTTACCTCTCCATCAGAGCCTTTTTTCGGCGATGAATGTATGGTTCTACTGTCCGCATCATGTCTGGGCGAGCTGCTCACTGATTGTGGCCGGGTCTGGGTGGGTGTCTTGCTGGTGTTTTCACCGTTGTCCAAAATCCTCTCGGTGCTCCTATTTCTCGGGGTGCGGCTCCCTTTCCTGCCCACAGCGTAGTTATCGAAGTCTATGGTCTTGCTCTCAAAAGCCCCCTCCACAGAGCTGAACATCCCGTAGGATTTTCGGTGGTTGTGTCCTGTGGTGACCGGCCCTGCCAGGTAGACAGGAAGCTCATCCTCCCGGTTCCACTGTCTTCTGCAGTCAGACATGATGTTCACCAGGAAGGAAGGAGACACTTCCCTAAATTTGGAGGGATGGCGAAGTCTTTCTGCCTTGTAACCGGGTCAGACACGGGCGTGCACGCTCATTCGATGCTGCAAAGAGAGTGAACAGTGAAAAGCACTACTGTGTCTTAGAACACACACACACGCGCAGAGAGACGATGAGAGACACGAAACCCAGTGGAATTCTACAGTGCTCCAGTTTGGCAGAGAGCAATGATGTGATGTTGAGTAATGTTTAAAGGAATCGGAGCTGATCTTCTTCTTTTGTTTCCTTTGTAAGGACCTCTATCATGAATAAATGTGGGGGTGGGGGTGACAGAGGACTGTTGTGTGTTCGTTTTAAGCCTAAACAGCAGCAATAATCGAGTTGAGAATATTCAGTGTGAGTTATTTACATCTGTCTTCCCATTACCTACAAAACACATTTCACAGAAAAAATTCCAGGATAGCCTAATGTCTTAGACTAAACTGTTTAGAATGAAAAAAAAAAAAACAACAACTGGACCTCACTTTAAATTTCCCTAATATACAGTACATATGCATATAATTATGTATAATGTAAAAAAAACTGTATAATATTAACACTCACAGTCGATTGGGTGGCTTAAAATAAAAATGTAAATGTAGAAAATATATATATATATAAATTAATGTTTTTGTGTGGTTAGTCTTCAGTAAACAATTGTTAAATCCATACGTCAATCCAGTTAAAATCTTATTGTACTAAAGCTGTTCATTGATTGATAACATTTTAAAGTTTGTGCTGATGTGTCACGGTGGCCGAGAGGTTAAGGCGTTGGAGTCGAAATCCAATGGGGTTTCCCCGCACAGGTTCGAATCCTGTTCGTGACGACTTTTTACAGTTTGATGACGTCATGGTCTATTACCTACATTTCCCAGGTTTAAATCACTACAACAGCAACAGTCATCCTTGAGATGCTGCACTACAGTAGTTACTCTCAGACCCTCTACGTGCAATATCCTTAGTGTACTTTGGTGGTCTTTATTGAAAACCATTTTAATACATTACACAATGATCAAATCGTAGCTAATTTGTGCTAATAATATAATTATATCTATAATTAAAATAGAAATATTAAGTAATCACTTTTTTAAATACAAAAGATACATGAAGCAGAACTCTTTATATATGGATGGAATGTTCCATAATTATTAGAAATTTATTTTAGGCAACAAAGGTGTGCGAGGCAAGGAAAAACAAATCACCAATCAGATTAGTCGGATGTTTTGAGTGACGTTTATCTCCCTCACTGGGGAGGCGTCTATTTTGAGACGGGCGGGTCTTAGAGTTCAGCGTCGTTTATAGACCGTAGGCGTGAGAGAGCAGCCAGTCAGTTGTCTCTGGTTTCATGGGGCGGGGTGGAAGTAAACGAAGTCAAGCATGGGACACAGAAGTTGTATTTAAACACCGTCGAAAAATACTTTTAACTCAATTATCAGGTAAGTTTAAAGGTCTACACTGCTTTAGTGCTGATTAGGTGCAAGTACATACCGTCATTGTACTGACTACAGGTGGTCTCTGGTTTTAAAGTCTGCTTGTAAAGTTCGACACAGAGACCACTGTTGCAAACAATAAAAGAATGTTTACGTTAATATTATTTAAACTAGTCTTTGGGTTGTCTTTATTTACCTCTTTGTTTTGCTACATGGCATTTTTTTTCTGTCTAAAATCCACATGATTTATGTTAACCCAAATTAGCCACGTGGTAAATAAAATCTCTGCCTCAGGAGAAATAATCTACTTTCTATTTTTACGAATGTATAACAACATTTAAATGATACAGTTAAATTGTAACATTTAAAAAAAATCGCTCTCCTAAAATTGTAAAACAGGTGTAATTTTGGTTTGTTTGAGAAGTGAGAATAGCAGGGTTTTTTTCCTCTGTCTGCATATAAAACCTGAGCTGCTCAACAGTCTGTAGTTGTTATTGTCTTCATAATGCACCAGACATTAAAAAAGGGACAGATCTGGTTTGAAGACAGTTCTATGTATACTATATACTTAATAAATACATTTGTTTGTAATTCCTGCAAAGTAAGAGCCTAAAAAGGTCCTGGTTAAATGCCTATGTAGAAAAGATAGGTGTAATATCTAAGCTTTAATATTCTAGTATTAGTGGTTATATCAGTACGAGCTTCAAATGTGTTAGGATCGATATGACGAGGACACTAATGAAGTCTGTATACATAGATACTTTTAATTTTCACCTTTCATAGTTAACACTCTAACTTGTAATTTTAAACTATGGGATCCATAAAAATATGCTTTTTTGGTGTCAAAGTGTATTAAAGCGTAACAAGTATTTTTTTAATCATTTTTCAAGTTTCAAGTTTAGTTTTTTTATCCCAGCAACTTTTCTGGAACTGTTTTTATAAGAAAGGTCTTGACTTTCCATTTTTTCCTTCACAGGACTAAATGGACCTAAAGAAGGATATACCATCAACACCAACAGCTTCTGTCATGGAGAGGCCACCACTTACCTCCCATAAACGTGGTCGTCCCTCAGTGGTCTCCAGTAACCCTTCTACTGCCCCTCCTCAGGAGCACGGCTCATCAGCTTCCACTGAATCACAGACAAAAGCCAAGAAATCCATCCAACCAACCACCAATGAACCAGGGCTAATATCTGCTGCGTTGCCCTCTGAATCTGCCTCAGAACCAGACTCTAACAAAACACCAGCCAGCACTCCTGCTGATCAGTCGTCCGCTCAGATCACCAAACCCTCAGCCGTTTCCAAGCTGACAGCTGCACCTCCTGCTTCAGCAGGTGACCGAGCGATGGATCCTTCTGCTTCTTCATCTTCTGCACCTGATACGTCCTCTACTGCACCTAAGAAAATCTTTGTCTCCATGGCAAAGCGGGTGATAATGCAGGAAAGACTAAGGAAAGCAGAGGAAGAGGACACCCATGATGAGGATGAAGGTAAGAACGCCCTTAATTATGTTTCCTACATAAATACGTTTTATTAATGTGAGGAAGCGGGGCAAAAAGATTTTGCAGCATCAGTGGACAGTTGTAAATGACAAAGACTTCCATAAACAGCCCTATGTTTGTTTGTTGTAGCATATTTAATTGCACAACAGTTTATGCATTATACATTATATTTAACTTCTTTGTTATCCTGAATTAACAACCACTGCTGTTGGGAAGAAAATGGTGGATGGTGGATGCTCCTTTTATACTCGGTTTTAGGTACTGATGACAGAAACTCCATGAATAGAACTTATTACTTTGTCTTTGCTCCTCCACCTATCTAAGAATGTGCTGCATGCATAATACTGAGGTGGTTTTTTTTTTACACAAATTAAAAAGAAAATATTTCCTCCACTCAGATGAAGAGCCTGAGGAGGATTTAACAGTGGAGCAGATTGAAACGAAGGCCCAATCAGGAGACGCAACGGCTCAGACACAGGCAAGTGAAAACGTGTTCAAACTTGGAATAGTTTCTAGTCCTGCTGGTTGACTCTGGATGTTTCAGGCTGAGTCATTCAGTCTGGTCGTTAGAGCAGGCTTCTATTTTTGGCCTTTTGGAAGCTGATACCACATTTTGAAAAGGATACACAGATTCAAACTCATTTATGTTTTTAAATCACTGGGACCAGTGCATTTTGGAACCTAATGAATAAATATAATATGAAATGTATATAATATCTCATGATAATTATTCACATATAGGTAAGACTTTGAGGCAGGAGGAGAGTTTTATTAAACTGCATGTTGTCACATGAACACTGAGCTTTTTGCAGATCCTATTTGAATACAGACAGCTGTATTTGCAATTGAGTCTGAGAGAATTTAAATTTAAGAAGCCTGGACAGTAAAAAATAGCAATCAGTCACTTGATACATATTAAGGCCTTTGCTCCACACAGTCAAAACTGTGGCTAACTGAAAAAGAGGCAAAGCCAACTGTAGTCTGTCAGTTTTGTTGTAGCTAGAACAAAACAAATCTCTGACGAAAAATCTCTGCCATGTAAAAATATTGTTCATTCAACACGAACACAGGTTGAAACACAAAGATGAGATTAAAAGGACAGACAATGATTGGACCTTCACTTAGAAAATAACAGAAGGTAGGCTATATATAATATTAATAGGACCTTCACTTAGAAAATAACAGAAGGGAGGCTATATATAATATATAATAGGCGAGGAACGTAATTTCGATACCTCTGTATGTTCTGTACATGTGAAGGTATTGACAATAAAGCTGACCTTGACCTTGACCTTGATATTAATGTACATAATGTATGTATGATGTAATATAACAACAATTAATATGATGATGTATAATATAATAAATATTAATTATATTATTATAAATACATATTAATTACATTTATAATGATTTATAATATACAGAAGGGACAGGAAAATAAAAAGACACAAGTGAGACACATTAGGGGAGGAGGAGGTTCACAGGTGGGGAGCACAGGAGGGTGGGAGGTCAGTGACCAGAGAGAAACAAAAACAATTAATATAATGAGAAAGAAAAAAAAAAGACACATAACTGGATGTGATACCTAGAATTCTAGATGTATAAGATAATCCATTACAGTCAGCAGCTGGACGTCTGGGCTGAAATAAAATTTTCTGCATCTCTTTCATTTCAGCTGGGTCAGCACTATCTAATTCTTGCTAAGGAGAAGGACCCGGAGCAAAATAATGTTCTTGCCGTTAATTGGCTGATTAAAGCAGCTAAACAGGGCAAAAAAAATGCAGCAAAAGCACTGCAGCGCTGCTGGGTTCAGAGAACAGGTAAAGACAAACAAATCAATGAGGGTAGAATTATTTTTGTGTTTATCAATTTTCTTTTGTCTCATCTGTGTTCTGTTTTGCCAGGAATTACTTCAGAGAATGAGGCTGATGTGCGCAAGTTATCAACAGAGAGTAAGTTTGAACGGACAGTACGCAAAGCGGCAAGGATGATGTTCCTTAAACTCAACCCAGAGAGGAAAAACAAGGTGGCCATGTCTGAGATGTTGGAAAATGTCAGCCAGGTCAATGCAGTACCAGGTAGGAGGCCCCTAAAGCAACCCTATCTGGAATACTACAGAGCGTTCACTATGTGGTGGTCTGCTGCCACATGATGGTCATCATCGCTGTTAAATATATCATCTATTCCCCTTTGTGATTTTAGCATTTGCAGCTGTCATAGAGATATCACGTTACATGCAAGCATGCAGTGCAGAGTGTTTGTAAACTTGCTGTTGCTGTTGTCCTCCCTCACCATTAGGTGGCAATGCAAGCAAGATTCCAAGTCCAACCACAGGCCAGACACAGAGAGTGTTAGAAAACATGGTCATCAACGAGTGTAAGTTTCCACCAGGAGAGAAGGAAGACATTCATGTTAAATGTGGATCTGACTCTTGGCGTTGTTTTCTCTCAGCCAAACAGCTTGTGGACCTGGACGACTTTGTTGAGATGACAAAAAACTATGCACAAGGCATTGTCCCCTCTCAAAATGTTAGGCCAGACCAGAGAGAAAGCTTTGAGCGTCAGGATAGTAGTGATGAGGTAAAAGACCAGACTTCGAAAAACATACATTTATTGTTAGAATGTTCTTTACTTTTATATATTTTACGTTTGTGTGTGTGTGTGTAGCACAGGCGTCAGTCTGTTTCATCCCATTGCAAGAAGTCACCCAAAATTCCTTGGAGTTTCGGTGGAGGGGGGATGATGTTGGACACAGAACGAACCGGGGCCATGAGGAGAGCCATGGACATGTCACGCATAACGGTATGAGCAGTTATAATAAGTTACGGATGTCACCATATTGTTTAAAATAAAGACCAGGAAGTAGATTTCAACTGCAAACCACCAGAGGGCATGGTTGTTAAACATAGGTTGTAAAAAGATTCCTGAAATGTTTTTACATGTTCATGTTTTTTTGTTGTTGTTTTTTTTTAACTTTAGATGCTGCAGTACCCATTGCACACCTTTATGGATGCTAAAGAGCACCTGGTTGACTGGGCATCCCGGGCTGGTGTCCAGTGGTTGAGCACCATCATCCCCACGCAACACGTCAATGCACTTATTTTCTTTTTCATCATTAGCAACTTGACGGTGGACTTGTTTGCGTTTGTCATCCCACTGCTAGTGTTCTACCTCTCCTTCATCTCCATGATCATCTGCACGCTGCGTGTTTTTAAGAGCAGTAAGGTAAATGTAGCCCAGCCTTTTCAATGAAATCACAAGTCACTGCGTGTTTTTAAGAGCAGTAAGGTAAGTGTAGCCCAGCCTTTTCAGTGAAATCACAAGTCAAATGAAAAATAAAAAATATATATATACACATACACACATACACCATATATAATGTATGTGTATTTGTATGTGTGTATATGTATGCATATAAACATATGTGTATATTTATGTCTGTGCATATCTATAACTATGCCTGTATATTCTATCTATAATAATATATTTACATATTATTTTTGTAAATATCAACTTGGTGATTCTGCCCATGCATTAAAATGACTACATTTTTAAATATATATTTTTATGTTAAATCTCATTTTATTATTATTATGCTGATTATGAACCTGTTGTTTTCTTTTACAAACAATATTTAACTCTACAATCACTGTGTGCTTTTCCTTTCCCCCTTTTTCCAGACGTGGGAGAACTTCAGTGCCCTGACGTCTTTGCTGACTCGGTTTGAACCCAGCCTGGATGTGGAGCAGGCAGAGACCAACTTTGGCCTGAACAATCTGGAACAATACTTCTACTTTATCATCTCTGTCTTTTTTGTGATTTTCTCATTCCCTGTTGCTGACAAAGGCTGGATCCCTTGTTCTGAGCTCTCCACAGTGGCCATCTTCTTTACCGCCGTCAGCTACATGAGCCTAAGCCCAACTGCTGCAATGTATGCTCGACAAGCATTGGTCATAGAGGTCAGGGGGTCAACCGTGCTGGTGTGAAACTGTTGAACAGCATTTATAGGAAACACATTGGGTGTTAGATGCTGGGAAAAATCCACTGAATATAGGAAAGACACAACAAGTCAAAGTCATGCTTTTATTAATATTTCTATGGAAATAGAAGCTGATGTGTAAAAAGAATACATTATTTTGATTTGAGGTGGTGTAAAGTGTTGTTTTTTTACAGGTAAACATAGAGAAATTAAGATAAGAAGATAAGAAATTATACCACTTGCAAAGGTGACACTAAGACAGTCTATTAAAATAAATACAGAAGATGGCAGTGCTCCTGTGTGCTTTGGAGAAACTTCTTAATTTATGGTTTACATAAACAAAGTTAATCTGGATATATTTTCAACCTTGTTTTTTTTTTCTTAAGTCTTTACAATCTTCAGTCTTTGTTAATGTGACAAACCCTAAATTTAAAATCAAAGATAAGTGGTTTCTTTTTTGTAATTCCAGGTTGCGTCATCCCTCTGCAGCCTGACCCAGTTTTTGCCAAAGAACATGACTGCGCTTCGTTTTTTGGGACACACCTTCGCCACGCTGCCTTTAGGGGAGTCTGTGGTACTGAAGCTGAGTCTGCCCTGTCTGCTGTATGTCTACCTGTTCTACTTATTCTTCAGGTGAGAGGCTTCGTCTGAAATATGTGTTCAGCATCAAAGTGAGTGGTATTTCTGAATTTATTTCTGTATCTTGACCTCGATAAATAACTAAATTGCCATTTTCTTTTATGTTTTCATCCTCAGCATGGCCAAAACGCGTGGTTTCAGGGGTACTTACTGCTTCTTGGTTCCATATCTGGTCTGCTTTATGTGGTGTGAGTTCTCTGTTGTTCTCCTCCAGAATTCCTCTGTTATTGGTCTCCTCCGCACCTGCGTGGCCTACTTTCTCCTGCTGTTTGCGCTGCCCATTCTGGTGTTGGGTCTTTTCATTATGCTCTTTATTCAGCTCTTTAAATGGTTCCTGGAGCTCGAGTTGACAAAGGTGATTGTGACTCTGGTCATATGTGCTATTCCTGTCACCCTGCGTCTCTGGACACGTTTCAGCACGTCCATCTTGGATGTGTTCCGCTCACTGACTCACCGCGGCCCCGTCAAACTCATCCTGCTCTGCATCTTCATGGTGGTCTTTGTTTTCTCCATCTATGTTTACCACGCTGAAGGGGAGAAGGTGTATAATTCCACTCTGACTTGGAACCAGTACAGCCAGGCATGTGGCCCACCCGCCTGGGAAACTAAAGGAATGGCCCAGACTCAGATCTTCTGTAGCCACCTTTATGGACACAGAGTCACGTGGACTGGACGTTTCAAGCATGTCCGTGTGGCTGAAACAGAAAATGGGCCGCAGTCGGTCATTAACATTTTGCCTAAATTCATAGGTGATTGGCTGCGGTGCCTTTATGGAGAGACGTATCCCAAATGTGAGCCAAAAAATGTCACTGTTACAAACCAAACGGCAGCAGACTTGGCAGCTGGTATGGAACCGTCACACCATTCACTGACCACGCTGCTGCGAATTCATGAAGAAGAAGAGCTGTGTCAGATCAAAGCTTTGGCAAAACACACTTGCCACGTGAAGCGCTTTGACAGTTTCAGGTTTGAGGTGACGGTGGGGATGGTCCAGGCCGATGACCCGACCAAGGACGTATTACTAATGGCCAGCAACGAGTTCAGACAAGTTCTGCTGAATCTAAACCCCGGAAACATGGTAGAGTTCAGCACCAAGCTGGAGGGTCGTCTCGGAGCCAAGGCACCGGCCTTTGAGTTGAAGGCCATTGATTGTCTGGACTGTGTGTCTTCAGCGTTCACTGGAGGACGGCAGGTGAAGATCGAGAGAAACTGGAGACGTACCACGATGAGAGCGTTGAAGTTTGGATTTGACTTTTTCTTTGCTCCCTTTCTGTCTGCAAACATCAGTGCCTAGGAAAATTGGAGCCTGAACAAATGGATGGAGTAAAAAAAAAACACACTATTTTTTTAAAGCCAAGTTTACAAACATTTTATAAATCCCTGAATTTACTCTAAATTATCAAGAACCAGTACTGAGCTGGATCATCCTGTGTGTTCACACAGTACATGTAAGAAGGCCGTCCTGTGTTACTGCTTCTCCTCTTTACATATTCATGTACACTTTCTTACATGTATATTTAATGTTAGTAAGCACCATACATAATTATATTTGTGCTTGCATTAGCGCATTTTCAATATTTATTTTTGTTCGTTCGTTTTAATTGAATTTTTATTTTTTGTCTTAAACCCTGTTTTTTGACGATTTTTTTATCAGTGATTTATATCATAATTAAGGGTACGTTTTCTGACCCTATTAGCAGAGCACTGGTAGCTGCACCCAAAACCAAATCTCTTACTGCAAAAGTTTCTAAGGAAACAGCAAAGGGCGGGTGTAATTTTAGCACAAATTGACTTCAGAATGGCCTGATGTGATAATTTATTGACCCCACCCTGTAAATCTATTGCAATTTTCCTTTTTGTTATTTTCGGTAGAAAATCTTCAGTTAGGAAAAAAAACAACCCTTTAATACAGTGACAAAACCTAAAGCAGTGTTTTTCAACCTTTAACAGCTGCAATCACGTGACTGGAAAAAAAAGTCTCGAGTTGCCAAAAATCTGTGTTGTTAAACACTTGTGTATGTGCAGCAGTGCTGCAATCACGTGACTGGAAAAAAAAGAGTTGCCAAAAATCTGTGTTTTTAAACACTTGTGTATGTGCAGCAGCCGCAGCTGTGCCTGAGAATGAAACTGCTGACGTGAGCGACGGTGGCATGTTTACAATTATTAAAATGCTTGACTGGAAACAAAAAAACAAAATGCACCGTGAATGATTTATTGTCTGATAATATTTGGGTCGTTAGGATCCAGTTCACCACAGACACGAAACAACGCCACACACTTTGACAGGTATTCTCTTCATTTATTGATGTGCGTTCCTTCCATTCATCTCACTTGAGTTATGTTTTCGCACTGTTAGATTTGTCTATTTTGAAAGCATGATAGATATACAGGCTAGTAGCACTGAGTAATGACGCCATGCTCTGCTGAACACAAATCTTTGCACGGCTTCTATGAGTGGGTGGATATGTGTTTACAAATGATTAGCTCTAAACTACAGCTCGCCTCTGCAAGATTTAGCCGTTTCGTCTTGCGCTGTCATTTTCATCATTAGAAAACTCTCTCTCTTTCACCCACTGGTAAAACAACCGTGAAGAACAGTGATGATTAAAACACAAAAAGCGTATTTAAACATTAGATTGAAACAAGTGCAAAAAACGGTTTTGTGAACTGTTGTGAATCCAAAAGACAATTTGAGAGTTCAAAACACACTTGACAATTTCCACTTCTGTTATAATAATTTTACTCCACGTGCTACAGTTACACATTCAGACCACCTACGATAACCCCGTCAGGGCCAAGGTCACTTGGAAAAAACACACTTCACTGTAGACGATCAAATCTCCACCAGGTCACGTTATGTAGAAACCACCTTACTGCTGTACACTCTGGTGTGTCCACCAAGTTGCACTGTGAGGTATATGGTATGACGACGGTTTGAAACTATAATGCAGTAGATTCTCGACATAAATGTTTTAATAATACTATGTACACGATGAGCTATTGCACTGATGATGACGACTGACTCTGAACACGTTACACAACCTCGGCCCATTTAAACTTCAACCAGCCGGAGCTACAGCCTCGTTCATGTGCTTGGAGTTTGATGTTGTGTTGATTGTATGAGACCTCACTGAAGATGTGTTCATGCACCAGTAACTGTTCACTTCAAAGAAATATTAAAAAAAGGAAGAAGAAATTACATTCACTTCCAAATTATTCCGCGGCCGAGTGTGAGTTTTTCTGAGGGCTCTGTGCCGACAGCCTGCTGTGAAGTAAAGCAACTAAAGTCCAGCTCACAGGCTTCATATACACGAGTAAACAATAACAGGTGATTTGTGCACAGCCTCCTCCCCCTCTAGTGCCAGTAATACTTAAGTACACACATACTGTAGGTTCCAATACTGCAGCATTTCTTAAAAGTAGAAATGTTTCACAATTTTTTTATACGACATTCTTTCTTTTTACTCTTCATCTTTCTGGGAATCTGATCGAATCTGATCTTTAAAAAAAAACATTATTTACAGCTAACAGTAAAAAGAGTGCATACATGAGAGTCGTTTGCAGAATAAGAGGTCATGTTTTAAAGCAGGAATACTGCCCAGCTGTGTTTTGTTAGTGCTATTATTGCAAAGTGAATAGGGCGATGAGAGAGGGGTAAATATCCGTGCATTCTCC